TATATATATCGAGCTCGCAGATTTGACATTTCTGTTTAATATTAAAAAATGAAAAGAGGAAAAAATGACTATGTTTGGTTTGTGGGGCAGAGCGGTAAATTTTTTTGCTATATGAGTATTTTTTGTAAAGTCGAGAGGTTTGGATTTTGGAAAATTTGATCATTCCTTCAACTGTGTGTTATTTTGGTTACTAAACCTGTTTTTGGATAAGAAATTGTTGAACGTGAGTTTTTTTTTTTCTTTCGTTGGGGAAAAAGAAGGAGTTTGATTAACTTGCTAAATCTTATTTTTATTTATCTATTTCGGTTCTTTTTCTGAGTTAAACTAAATGGTGGCCTTGTTGAGAAAGTGTGGGGAAGTGGAGGAACCCGTTAGTCTAAAGTTTCAATTTCATATTCTATATGTTTTGCTTTGTTTCTTCATCTATGATTGATCATTTGTATCTCTGATTGAGTTTTTCTTTATTTATTATTGTTATTTGTTTTTTTGGCTCTTCTGCGGGAGTTTTAACTATGGATTATGTTTGGCCTATGTTTGCTTCGGAAGAAGATGCCGGGAATGTGCAACCAACCTTCCAATTTGCAAATAGAAATCTGTCTTGGAATATATAATACAACGTCATGTTAGAAAACTAATAGTTCATAAATGTCAATGAAATAATTGCTGTTCGTGGGTCCGACGGCATGTGCATTAAGAATGGCCCAGTTACAGTAGCTTTTGTCACTAAAAGTCTTAAACACCTAGATTGCTCCTTTCAGAGTTGCTTAATGTTTCTTATGGTTCTACGTATATTTTCTTAGAAGATAGTTATGTGTGTTCTTTTTGCTAAAGGTTATTGTCATATTTTTCATTTGGTTTGTTAACGGTTTGACTAGCAGTATGGCTCAGTATTTATTTAGCAGTGGAGTGCCTTTAATATATACTTTTATCATGTTATTGCATTCAGATTTCTATTATGCAGAGATGTTCATGAGTGTTCCGCACATGTTTTTAGTATTATATGCCTTCATGGTTCTTATGATTGCACTTCTGGCCAGCCTTTTTTTTTTAATTTATTTCTCAGTAAAAATATGCACATGTTTGACGATGTTTTGTTTTTAACCCATGTAGTTGCACAAGGCGCTGTGACTCAACAAAATGAAATCACCTATGATGCAATTGATATAGATTCTGATGGTAAAAGAAATTATGGAATTATCTAATGTGTTTTATAGACTTCTTAATTTCCTTACCAAGTTTCCTTGAAGCTGCAGATGAGACCAAGGCTGTAGAAAAGGAAAGGAGTGAAAAATCTTTGGATGTTGATGCTATTGCTGTAGAGCATCGATATGCATGTTCTATGGATGGAACTATGGTTATGTCACGAGCTGATGGTGTTGTCAAAGAGAGAATTTGTAGTCTGGATAACTGTGTTTTATCCTGTTCATCAAATTCTGGGGTAACATTCTGGATAATTATGTGTTCTTATCTTTTTTTTAAAATGTCTTTGAGTTTGTCATGAAACTCTAGATTCTTGGTCAGTAATGCCATTAGTCTTGAAACAAATTTAGGTGTCACCAAAACTTTAACAGAATTTTGACTCAGTCTTTCTGATGTGTACTGTACTGCGTAGTAGTATCTCTTGAGCATCAGGGACTATTCAGTTAAAACTGTGCAGGATGAGCTAATGGATGTGAGTTCATATGATGATTGCAACAGGATCGAAATGAATTCTTCATCAAAATCTTCCTCTCCTCTTTCAGAGAATGAAGGTTCTTATTACTTCTTTTAAGTTCTTTGAGCGCTTCTAACTAATAGTAGCTCTTATACTTTGTATATGTGTGCCAACCCTTTAGTGTCTTATAAAAGTTGTTCTTTTTGCATAAAAGAAGTTCTTTGGTGACTTCTGATTCATTGCATTCTAAGGCATCACAATGTGACTCCTTGAATGATGTATTATCCTTTTATCTCATATAAACTATTTTTTTGTTTCAGTGTCATGGAACCAACAAGTGGTAGAACATGGTCATGGTGGACATGAGATTGTAAGTTCATAATAATATCTTATGGAAAATATATGGCTATTTAAACTATTTAGGGAAAGTTGGCACTTAAATGAAAGAATTTGACCATCTGTTGATAAACAAATATTCCACATTGAGTTTTCTTTTGAGCATGTAAATTGGATGCTTTGGTGCTTCTATGTAGTTTACATATCAGTCTCTTGTATGGACATTGTAAACCATGGGCATAGACATATGTCCTCATAGAGCCTTTAACTTGGAATGTCTGAGTGTTAAAAGTCTTTCAGTATGTCGAATAGGTACAAGCTCAGTTAGCTAAAATCTTAACAAGTTGACCTTTTGATATAAGAGCAATCTTGTGAATATATGTTGTTGCATACTATCCATACAAGATTCAAATATGACCAAAACACTTTCGCAACTGATTGAGGTTGCCTTTCTTTAATTCCTTTTCTCCTTGTCTCTAACAGAACTTCTTTTATAAAATAAAAAACAATTTTATTGTGTGCTTGAAGGAAAATATGTATAGGTATTTATAGAAATGCTGATGGCAAGAGAATGAAAATCATAAAAAGAAGAATTAACTATACAAGAACTACATATATTTACCAAAATGAAAAATTTATTAAATAACTAAATGTCTCAAAAAATGGAATTACCAACATTTCTTCCTAGGTAACCTTTCTTAAACGAGATTAAATTAAGAAACATTGATATTAATGGAATTAGAAAGTAATATTGCTAATACAAATAATAAAACTAAATAATAATAAGAATTTTTTTTTTTTTGAAATAAGAAGTATAAAGTGTATAGTAACACATTAGCACCAAAGGGATACGACCCATATGCAAAAATATTTACAGTTCGGGCAGCATATCAATAAAATTCCTGAAATCTTCCACCATTTTAATATCATGACCTAAACACAAAGATCCTATATAATGCATACATCTACCTCTAATCTTTTTTTCCAAGCCCCTTAAAAGTCATTTGATTTTTTTTTCTAAACAATCCAAAAGATAGTAAGTGGTGTGAGATTTACAATTTTTATTCCCCTGGTAATTTCTTCCCTAGCCCATAATTTATTTTTTACAGTGCCTGCAATGACCCAGTTAATCCCTAAGAATAACAATAAAATGCCAAAGATACTAAAATTATAAAAATAGACTCCTAAACTATATATTAGTTTTATATTAATAGAATTATAATTTATAATTATTTAGGCATTCTAGAACTATGTCATTTCTCCATCAGAAGCTAAATAGTGGTCCCATGGGTAGTGTAGTTTTCGACAAGGGTATCCTTTATCTCTTTTATTTTCATGATTGTTGTTGATGTTTGAGTTGTATGCTCTTTATAGGAATTGATAGAGGAGTTATTGACAGCTTGAGAGTGGGTTAGGAGAGGCCTATCTCCAATTTGCAGATGATATGATATCTTTCATCCCTTGTGATTTTTTAAAGTTTTATAATGTTCTCACAGTACATTTCTTTGATGGTATCTCGGGTTCGAGGATTAACCTTAGGAAGAGTTGGTTAGGCAGTCTTCATGTGGAGGAGGCAAATGTGAGAGATCTGGTTGATTCTGTTGGTCGTAATGCTTTAGAATGGTCCTTCCTTTATTTTTGTCTCCATCTTAGCTGTAATATTAGGAATGTTGTTTTTTGGGATCCTGTTGCGTGTAGTCTCTGAGTTTTTTGATTCCTATAATGGTGCTCTTTTTTCCTAGATGGTCGGCTCACGCTTAAGAGTCTTGTTTGTTTGGTGTTAAGCTTCTTGTCCATCTCTTTTGAAATTCCTAAAGGTGTGACAGAGAGAATTGAGAGGGTTACGAGGAATTTTCTTTGGTCTTGGTCGAGTGAGTCCCCAATATGTCACTTAGTTGGAAGAAGTCTTACTTGTTTAAGTCTGAATGGGGGCCTTGGTATTGGCAATCATTATTGTAAAAATGTGATTTAGGATAATAAGCTCCGAAAGTGGGTTTGTTTCGATAATATGAGATATAAGTCAAAATTGATAAAGGAATATAAACACTTTGGGGAGTCAACTAAAAGGAGTAGGAAGATTTAATTTTATTTTCTAAGTTTTGGAAAGTTTTATAATAAAAAAATAAGACTATTTGTTTTCTTATTTCTTTCTATTTACTTTTTACCTGTTTATTACGTTTTTGAGATTTTCTATTTTTAATATATCTGGTGGCTATAAATTAGATACATAGCTTAACTATTAAGTTGACTATTCTTATTATTATTTACATATTGAGATAATCTAAGATTTCTAAGTTTGGTTCTTAATAAAATTTTCCTAAATTTTGTTTTCAAGCTCTTTTTTGTCATATATCAGTTGGTATCAGTGTCTAAAATCTTTCATCATCATGTATTAGTTTACTCATTCTAATTCACAAAATACAACCATGCTTCTGCAAAAAGACCATGGTACTAATTCAGCGACAATAGCAATAGGCAAGAGAAAATAACAACTATCAGTCAGCACAATCTCCGGCCAACACCAGGAAGTGGTCGACACTAACCCTTCCATTAGCCTCGGAATGCTCTGTTCGGCTGCTCCACCAAGTTTTTACGCTCACCTATGCTAGAAAATTGCAACTCTTTCCACTTGAAGTTTCCTTCTGGCTGCTTTGGTGGGACCCAGACCAGTAGGACTATGAGTAACATCGACAGTGAATTTGACCCAGCTCTAGACAATTCCTTTAGCCAGGAGATCGTCGTTGGAGGTTCCTCGGGAGCTAGTGCATGACTTCCATGTGTTGACCACTCCGCGTGGTTTTTTCTATTCTAACGTCTTTTGTAGACTAGTTGTGGTCGGTTTGACTCGTCCTAGTTCGGCTTGTCGGGTTCAACCACCTCCAATCTAATTCCAATATTTTCAGACCGGAATCTTGAGGTTTTTAGGCGCACTCTTTCACTTTTTTAGATTAGTTTGTTCAAATTCATATCCTCTATTGCTTTATGGCAAGTTGATACTTTATATAAAATTTGCTTGGAGTTAGAGGAATTCTAGATGGACTTAAAACATGAGATAAAAATTAATCGTGCTCTTGCCTTACATTATATTTGGTATACGGTTTAGTTACAAAGGATGAGCTATGAGATGATATATTTGAAGTTTTTGATAAATATGGATGTCGAGAGAAGCTTAAAATTAGTTGAAATTAAAAGTTGCAAACTTTTGTCAACACTTCTGTTCTTAACTAATTCTAAGTGGGTTGTTGGTAAAGGTAATAAGGTTCGTTTTTGGAAGGATACTTGGTGTGGCACAGAAAACTTCCAAGCTAGATTTCCACTTATTTTTGCAATCGAAGGGATAAAGATATCCTTGTTAATGAAGCTGTTGGTGCTGACAGTCCCACGGATCGGAATGTGGTGGTAAACAGGAATTTATAAGATTGGGAAGTAGATGAATATTAGATAATGCTTCATACTTTGGAAAATATCCAGCTCTCAAATCAAGATGATAAAGTTAGTTGGAATCTAAGGAAGGATGGTCGATTTACTGTAAAATCTTTCTACTATTATCTTATTCGTACTAGAGCTGACATGCAAAGGACCTTTCCTTTTAATATTATTTGAAAATCTGGTGCTCCTCCTCAAATATCTTTTTTTTGCATGGGAGGCTGCCAAAGTACGTATCCTAACCCTGGACAATTTGATGAAAAAAGGCTCTATCACTGTCAAAAAATGCTTC